AAATTTTCACAAGGGGTATTTTTACATTTCTTCTAATCACCATCTGGGAGACAGACTTTTTCATGCATGTGTTCATAATGCATCCGATAGGACAGTGGTCAGTAAAAGCAAGGTCGAGTTCACCTGCTGAAGTAATTTTGCTGCTTCTGTTGGATAAAATTACATTGATTAAGGTAGACTTGATTCAGTCCCTTAGGTTCACTCTGTTGGTTCAGTGATAAGCTGTGTTAGGGAGAATTTACCAAATATTTCCTTTAGGTAATTGGATGCATTAAGATTAAAATTGCACAAGATCAGCATTTCTGAGTCAGTATATAGAGACAAAAGCTCAGCTAAGTCATCAACTTCGTAGCAGGGAGCAGAAGGAGGCCTGTAGATCGCTGCTATAACAAAACAGATGTTCTGCCCTAGAAATTCAAAACATTCCTCTTTAGAGACTGCATTAAGAGTGTTAGTTTGGATATTAGATCCAAACTATTACAATGTAAACAGCTACACGACAACTCTAGGTTTTCCGGTCAGATCAATAAAGATTAGGGCTATTTCAGAATCACTTACAGACTATCTAAGCCAGGTTTCAGCACCACAGTCTTTTTAGGTGGTCCAGTTTATCATGTTGAAGTAGGCTTCTAACGTTTAAATGAATTACGCCTATACTGACTTTGGCGCCCTGAGTGGGAGTCTCTTTAAAGAGAGTCTCTTTTAAGATGCCTGATAATAGAATCTCCTACTACCAAGGAAAGCAGTGGTGACTGGTGAGCTGTTGGCCTGATGGAGTCCATGAGTGCTGCGGGCTAGAGTCCACCAGCAGGGATCACCTCAACATTTATGGACCTAACTGACATTTATGGACCTAACTGAGGGTTTAGCTTTAACAGTCACTGTTCACCACTGCTGTATACTGAACATTTTACAGTAGTTTTCAAATATAGCTCAGATCAAAACAGATGTAAAGCTACAGTAGGTGATTTTGTAGAAACCAGGAAGTGTAAGCTAGTTTTTTGAAAAAATCTCATCCCTTACTTTCAGCCTTCCTTCCAACATATAAGATAAACATAGCTGGGTAGCTTACCCCTACAGCTTAGCTAACATTAGCATAGAGCTAATGTACATAAGTAGTTAGCTAAATTGGCTACTTAATTCAGGAAAATAAATTCCCCCATAAACAAACAAATCAGATAATTACCTGTCCAACAGAAAAATAGCAACCTTAGCGTCTCTTTCCAGGCCTTTCAACTCCCTTGCTCCTTTTGGCACCACTGGAAACCACACCGATGTTCACTCTGGTTTGACCTCTAGCTTTATTTGAACCTCTTTTTGTTCAAAGCCTTTTCTACTTAGTCACTCATGTTCAAGGTCTTCTCTGAGAAGCTAATTCATGAGGGAATTCAACACCAGAGCATGTTTTCCTCAGTGCATATCAGAGCTGTACTGTCTGGACAATCCGCCTGCTTTAACAGTCCATTGGTTCCTGCAGCTCGAGCTTCACTTAATAAAAGAAATAAAACAGTGAAGATATGTGTTTGATTTTTGCACATGGATCGCGAAGCAAATTTTTGGCCGAGCATCAGCCCAGACAGCGAGCATATATCAGTCCACTGGCTTGATAAGGTGGGCACCCTGCCGGGTATTTCCACTGCTGGTCCTCCATCGGACCACCCAGATTATTGTCCTGCATACAAGCTCTATCTAGGTTTTAATCTCCTGAAACAGATTTTAAGTTCACAGAGGTTTTCATTTTAGATATATAATCTAAGACAAATATTACAAACAACTAAGAGAAAAATATCATGACTAGGCCTAATGAGAAAAGATTTTATAGAAGATGTTGCTGACACTGTTAAAATTATTTTACTGATTAAAATGATTTACTAAACTAATTTACAATGTATAACTAAAGAAAGCTGATACAGTGAATTGGACTATGAGTATAAAATGAGCGATAAGTAGAATTTTATAATTTTAGAATATTAGAATTTTGTCTAATACTCTGCTTACCCACCTTTGGGCCGCCCAGAAAACACTGAGCAAAACGCCAGGGGACCACCAGCTTTGCCATCAGCTGGTCAACAGTGGTCCACTATCCTCTTGCTATCAGGGAGCAACCTGATTGGTTACATTTAAATTGACAAGCCAATCAAAAAGGTCAAGTATAATTTATTACTATTGCAATGACTGTGATGCACAGTCTGATGTTCTTCACAGATGTCAGCTAGCAGAGTTTGCTGTCTGAGGCTGAACCCAGTGAAGCTCAGGGTCAAAACAAACACTGACTCTGTTCATCAGTAGATTTATGGAGACATGCTATTAGGATGACATGAAAGGTAGTTTTAGTCAGTAGCCTAATTGCGTTTCTCTCATATTATTCAGCCCATATCACTCAGTGGTGCCTCCTCTGGTGTGTGTATGTGTGTGGTGGGCTCCGCACATGCTCAAATGAGTACACGTGCTGAGCGCACACGTGGGCTTATTGCGAGATAGGTAGGTAGACGGGCAGGTAGCCCTGAGGTTTTTACAGTCCAATTCCATATATTGTGAGAGCACTTGATTTATGATTGCTATCGGGATGTAAAGAGTATTTCAAGAAATATAACAAAAAATGTTTGTAAAATAAACCACCTGCTCCATCTTTAAGAACTGTAAGTATTTAGTAGACATATGTATTTCATCAGTTTGATGTAACCGGAGTGAATTAATGGATTACAAGTTCAACTTTTACATATATAATCTTTGATGTAACCACGGATGACCGTACTTTTTAAAACTGCGTTGTGGTTTTCTAAAACGAGATGAAAGCGGCAACTCGTGCTGAAAAGAAAAGGAAACCGAGATGACAGCTGCTTCATGGAAAGACCCACAGTGAACAGAGGGGAATTTGTTTCAAGATCCTTTGCTTGAAAATCACTTCCTGTTGTGTAATGACGCTGTGTAGAAATGATGACGGAACGTTACGTTGAAGTGTTTCTGAGAATAAAGTCAGAGTTATCACACGGATCGTAGTTCGAGAGGATGTGACCATGTTACCCGTACATCATTTGACTGTAGGAAACTGAGGTGTTTAACTGAAAACCCAGTCAGAGTTATCACTCCACATGTTAACAAACGGAAGAGTCTACGTTCAGCTCCTCTGAACTGTGGAGAAGGGCAGTTTCAAGGAAATGGTTGAGACCAGAAATACAATTGAGTTTTGGAAACTGACTCTTCAGAATTCTGTCCAAAGTTACAGTGTGGGACTGGTTTTGCATTTGATAGTTTTGAGGTAGTTTTTGATGGTAACAAACTGAAAGCAACCGCACTAGTAGATAAAGGTGGGCTTTTAAAAAGTCTTTGGTTTCCTGTCGAATGGCCTTCAAAGGTTTCTTCAAAGGATGCTTTAAAAAACCTGCTGGTGTGAAAAATGCACTGGTAAAGTCAGTTGAGTTTGGGCCAAGAACGTCAAAAACACTTCTATAATAATACATGTTTCTGCTGGAGCCCCTGTGGAATTCTAGTAATATGTTAGCGCTACGCTAACGGTGATTCTCCTGAACCTTTTTGGATTAAACAAGCTTGTAAAAGACATGTTTTATTTGAATCTAACATACATATTAACATCACAGTGTATCAGTTTTTCAGTGACTCTTTCAGTAGAATCCTGAAACAGAGCTGCCACTCTTTTCCATTTCTAACAACTGAATGAAACCTGGTTATGCTACAGCTCATATTCATAGTCACTGATGTGTATACAAAACGTCCAAAAGGCCTAATGTTTTTGCTTTATAAATTGGTCGCACCCATTAGAAAACAAAAGTGGTTGCTCTTCACAACTATGTTAGTAGTTAATCAAGCCGGTTATGCCTTCTGTTTAGCTCCTGAAGTCCTAACCAATAGGAAAGTTTGCTTGGCTGTATTTGCCGAGATAGCAGGGAGAATTTGGGCAGTTTTCCCTTGGACATTTCAAGAATTTAACTCTTTTGTTTCCAACCAAAGCAATGAAATGAGAGTATTACTAGAGTACTCGTGGAGTTTAAATACAGCTAGCATGCTGATTCTATTAAATAAAAATGAATAACAAGTTACAGATGTATTTTTTGTATTTCACAGAAATCGTTAGGGTTTCTTTGAATGGCTCGAAAGTTCCCCACAGAACTTTATAAAGATTTCTATAACACTCTCTCGTTTCGCTGAAGCCAGCTTTTTCTACAAAGTAAGAAATGTAAGTATCATCTAGAAGTTCATAGTGAAACAAACATGTCTGCAAATCAGCTTAACTACTTCTTAACACTTGATTCATCAAAACCAGTGTCGAGAGGTGTCAACAATTGCTGTGGATGGAAAGTAGATGAGGTTTTACAGTCATTTCTGTCTGCTAACTAAAATAGTTACTGAGACTCTAGTACTCTCCCTGAACTTTACATACATGCCGTGTGGACGATACCACTGATTTGCTTCTCAATTCAATACCGATTATGTCCCGATCCCAATACCTATCCTGATGATTTTGGTACACATAAAAGGGGAAAATCTTTGTGATTTTTAATCTATATTCTTAAATAATTAAGAAACGTACAAACTCAGATTTCTTTACAGTGGTGGTGATACAAACCAGGGCTTTTGATGTCTAAAACACAAAAATAGCCTTTTTTATTTGCTGATAAAATGCCTGATATTTTATATGTAATGTTCATAATTAGAAAAAAAGTCTCTATGGACTTTGCATGTACCTCCCCACTCTGAATGGATTAAAAAATTTATTTTAGGCAAAAATCATATGTCATAACTGTTGTAAAGCAACATCTCAGGCAGCATTACTGTGACAATTTTGTGTACTAACATTAGATGATCTAGCTTTTAGAAGCCTTCAATGCTTCAGACATCTGGTTCCTATCACCACCACTGTAAACAATCCTGACTCAGTAAGCTTCTCTAGAACTGAGCATTTCACAACAAACCACTCTGAATAACTCTGTTTATGTCTTAACCACTTCATTTTTGAAAAATCAGTGGAATTCCCCTTTATTGTATTCTCTTGTATCATTTTATTATCATCACTTCTCTCTGTCCTCAAGAATCATTCTAAAGGAGAAGATCTACCGCCTTCAGTATTGTCTTTATCCTCATGAGCAATGAAATACAGTCACTCAGGCACAGTCACTGTGTTGTCACTAGTATTTTTATATTGCTTATTTGTAACTATCTACATTTATACACACATACACACGCTCATATACCACAACACAAATCTGTACGTCACACACTGTGTGTTCAAAACAAGCAGTCTACAAAAAATGACCATTAACATTTTGCAAGTTGAGTGATGGAAAGTGCTACAGACTCTCCATCTAACATTAAGGCTGTCGGTGTATTACGTTTTCCCACAAATGTAAGCTTAAGGCCTCAAACGGAAATCACATTAAAGTGAAAGAAAACAAAACAAAACAAAAACAATAAAATACTGTTGCAAATACTCCTATAGTGCATTAATATATCACAGTTTACTACAAGAAACAAAGCCTAGTCTCATTCATATTTAAAGCCATGTATTTCTACATAAAGCTATGTGTATACTGAGAACATAGCTTCCTCTTATTTGTCCAATGAACAATTCATACTATCAAGCATCATAGGATTGAGTGGTATTTAGAGGATCCCCATTTAGAGTACTTCTGAGAGCACAAAGTCAAATGACTGGTGTTCGAGTGAAAGCTGAACTCTCACACCACCATTCAGTGATCCCTCTTAATTAAAATGTGTTTATTTGGCTGGTCAGACGTGGACCAGAACTTTAACATGTCATAATTTTGAAATACTATCACCTTTTTTAAGTATTTTTTTTTTGAATATCACCCAACTCTAGGGCAGAGCATTTTCTAGATTTTTCCCCAAATGTCTCCTCAATTTAGCCATGTGCAATTCCAGCTGCTGGTTTGGTCTTCCCATGATGCTACCAATGCTAACATATGCCGTGTTTCAGTCACAATGATGGTGCATTCATACTAGTTGTGCTAGCATTCTACAGACAGTCATGCTAATGTGTATATATCCTCTATAAATAAGGTTGTGTCTTGCAAATAACAAATATGGTCTATTATGTCGACAGCAGAATTTGCAAAGCTAAGTTTCAGTAGGACATCCAATGGTTAGTCGTGGATTAGAAGGGAGCTTCATGCTCGTCATCCTTTCATCGTCCAGCTAGCATTCTTCATTGCAATATGTGATTAGCTGGAGGTTGTGTACTCTCACCATGTCACTGTTTGTCCCGTTTTCTGCCTGAAAACTCATACAAAATGATTATTCTTGGACCTTCTTCACAGGCATATAGTCCGCATCAGCAGGCTCTAGCATTCCAGAGCAGTCCATGATGTCTACATTACACATCAGTGTGTTCGTGGAGATGACAGATGGCGGTTTTTTAAAGAGATTGGTGTTCTGAGGGCTCCACCCAAGCCCAGTTGAGGGTAGAAACATCAGGTGAGGGAAGCCAGCCACATGGGAAGCCTGTGGAATCGGGCAGGGCAGGACACCTATAAGGGACGGAATGTCCACCACTGGTGGGCTGGGCAGACCCTCGCTCCCAGACTCCTCCTGGCTGTCCTGGTCACTCCCAGCAGCGAAGCCAGAGTCTGGGCTTTGGACGTCCAGTCGCAGCTTCTGCAGGTGCTTATATGAGGAGGATGTCTCCAGCTGCTCACTCATGCTGCTCAGCTGGTCACTTATGCTGCCCTCATTCTCAGTGTCGCTATTATGGCTCTCCTCAGTGGCCGTCGTTGCTTTTTCTTCCACACTGCCACCTCCTGCAGGTCCATAGGGGCACTGTTCCGAACAAGGCTCCAGAGGGTCCATCACATTGCATTTGGAGCTTTGCGACAGGAAGTAAGTGGAGTTGGTGAAGCTCTTTCTCTTGTCCTCCTCCTTCTTACAAGGGATGCTAACGTCCGGGATCTTGCAGATCACCATAGGAGAGATGCACTCAGGTTCAGCTTTGAAAAATGACTCAGGGGTCACAGTAGTACCAAGCCACGACTGAGGAAGAGGAGAAAGAGGACACTAGGTTAACTTTGGAAAGTACCATTATTCCTCCACACTGTTAACAACGATCCTGCCCAGAATCAAATTTACCCTAAATGTAATCAATTAGACACTTTTGGTGTCTGAAGTTTGCTTCTTTATTTGTGCATTTGAGCTACAACAACATGGTCTGTGCATCCAAGGGTTGGGTGTTACTTTCCATGGGGCGGAGCAGGCCATATGCAAAGGAATGCCCCCTGTGTTTTTTTACTGGCTCATTCTGTCATTTTAGAACAATGAGCAAAATCCGCTTTTTATATTCTATTGCACGTGTCAGTTACACTGTAAAAAAAACTGTTAAAAAGAGGTAAAAAAATCCATTAGTTTATCTACTTGTTACTCATTAATTAACAGTAAAAGTATCTTTTCTCAAAAAAGGAAAATATCTGTAAAATTACAGTGATTTAATTTCTTAGAAATACTACCTTTTACTGTAATTCAACAGTTTCACTAGTTCAACTAATTATTTTTGACATCTGGAATTCTGTTTTACTCAATTATATATATTACTGTATTTTAACAACAGCAGGGTCAAAAGTTCAGTCTGTGAGACAAGCAGCTTAAAGTAGAAAATAACCTCAAACTACTTGAGTAGTTTTTAATAAACAGCTTATTAACTCTTACTAAGTCACTTTTACTCTTCATTTTCTTTATTAATATTCAAGTGAATTATCACTTCAGTAGCAATTCACCATCCCTTTTATTTAATCACAGAAGTACATGAAGTGTAGCATTACCAACCTCACTGAAGGCTAAGGTCTGATCCAGTGTTGCTAGGTTAATGTATGGTGTTAGGGAGAGTGCAGTACAGCTAGCTTTCCTAAAAGGCATTGTTTTCTAGGTGCAACAAAACAGCTAATGCTACAAAGCTAATGTTGCTAACAAAATAGTGGAATCTTATAACTATATCTAAACACTTATATCTAAACACTGTGTAAACTGAATGCCTAAAACATCACACACTTCAAACTGTGTTGAGTTGTAAGTAACCTCATATAGGCTTGCTTATGTGGTTTCTGTTATCTATAAAATGGATAAATGGACCACATAGCTACAAAGAGCAGCAGCACCCATCCTGAGGCATTTTATCTGTATTTTCTTTTACCCTTTATAGATAACAGAAAGTCATACAGTGTCATAAACCACATAAACAAGTCTCTTTGAGATTAGATCTGCTCCCTGACCCAGCCAAAGGAACTGTTTAACACTCCAAATGAGTCACGGATGTCTTCACTGCTGAAACATCATGACCTGGTTGTGACATCAGATTAAAAACTCTGGTCTTATGAAATGTAGAGCAGAAGACCTGAAATGTTGACACGTTAATGTTGGCAGTGGACAGATAATGGCAAAGCAGACATTCCATTGTTTTTTTTGTTTTTTTTTTCTGAGACTGACAGAATGTGCCGGAACAGTAAGCAGAACGTTATGTGAAGAGTTCAATTTTCCCAACTTTTACCATCGACTGCAGCAGTGGAGTAAACCAGATTTGGATTTTTTTTTTTTTCAGAAACACAGGCGCTGATTGATCGTAGTTGAAATCCCCTTTATATACATCAACTCCTTAATGAAACAGTGGCTAACACCACTGCAAACAGGCAAAAACCCTAGTGATGCTATCACCATGGCAATGTTTACATGGCTTCATGCCACTGTTGGCTGTATATTAATGCTAGGTCTGATCTGAGGCGCTGAATGACGGTTTTTCAACAGCAACATGTAAACGCAGCATTATGGTGGATGCGGCCGTTCTGCATAAGTCAGAGTCAGGGCTCATCCTCACACCGGTTAAGTCAGAGTCGGCTACAGCAAAAGCTTGTTTTTCTTTTAGTTCATTTTCTATTGATCAACTCGAGAGCACTGTAAATCCACATCTGCAATTATCTGTGATAGTCTCTGTTCAGTGAGTTCTCATCGGGTTTGGGCCTTAGATTTAGCAGCACCAGTTGGGCTGGGTTAGGTAGGGACTCAAAGTCTCAGACCTAAATTTGAGATCTCTTGATAAGTGGTGGCTTGAAATGTGTGATGATTTAGGCATGCAGTTTTTATTAACTTCCATTAAGATCATAAATCCAAATGAACGTACCTTAAAATTTCCCCCATGAGTGAGATAGAGTGGTTCAAAAGGATTATGTATGCCTGAAGACTTCAGAGACCTGAAAAATGACCATTTTTTTAATTAGTCAATTGTCCTACGATCTAAAACATACATATAGTAACTTATATCTGTACTGGTCATGAATGCTATGAAGGTTTTTGTGAGTTTTCTTTTGATACAAAGCAGCATCATGTCATGTAATAAAGTGCACTGTCTTGACTTTTGATATGATGGTTGTGGATTTGGAGGCCAGTACTCACGGATGGAAGCGGAAGAAAAGCAGTAAGATGAGTGCGACTGTAATTACAACAGCAGTGCCAGTTAGACTGGGGAACCACCATGGCATCATATCACTGTGATCTAGAAGAGGAGAGGAGAGGAGAGAAGAGAAGATGCTGCTTGTTACCATCTGAAGTTCATTTTTAGACTCAACATCAAAACAGTGTCTCAGTGTTTAATCCGTACCAGGAGGAGGTTTGCCCACTTTGGAAGTCCACTGAGTGGATGGACTCCAGTCACTCCAGAACTCCGATATCATTTCGGGTTTCGACCTCACTCTGACCTCATACTGTCTGCCTAAAATGAGCTGATCTTCTGGCAACATACAACTTATACCATGTACTCCTAAAGGCTTCACCTCCTACAAAGAGAGAGACAGAGAAATATGGATTGCTTAAAGACAGGCCTCGCCAAGGAGAAAATGAAATGGCAAGAAAGAGACAGAGTAGTGGTTAGAGACAGTGGAGCTCTTCCCAACTCACTGAGACCGCAAACGCAAAGCTAATTTTAACAGGCTCAGAAAGACTAATAAGCTAATGATGATTTTTTTAGTAGTTGCAGAATTATTAAAGGAACAGTCCACTGTTTCTCGACCTAATCTCTATCAGCCAGCACTGTAACATATGATTGTTTACTATGAAATTGTTTACTGTTATAAGTGAGTATCAGGTCAGTGGGATTTTTCTTCTTTTCTAAGCAGATGAAAACGCATCAAATTACCACTGTAACTGCCTGCTGACTACAGATACGATTAAGTTGAAAAATATTGAAGAATTCCTTTAAGCAATCCTGAACCTAGGACTTCCTTTGTCCTTGACTGCATGCGATGTGATAAAAGAGGAGGTTTAAAACAAAAGTAACATAGTGGCATAGGTCTAATTATAATCATTGAAGGGCTGAGCTTGCCTAGAGACTAGAGCTTTAATCGAGCCTGAAGCTTTGGCCTGAACCCCACAGCATGGCGTTCTGAGCCCAACCTGACCAACATTAACACGTTTTGAGGCTGAAACTGACCCGAGTATAACAAAATTCTGTCCGAAAGTAACCTGAGGTATGATGACATAGCAGCCAGGAAACATAGAGCCATGGGAACTTAGGACCCTGGGGACAAAGGTATGCTCCCCTCTGGATGTATAACAATACAGTTAAAATCATATAGTAATATGGCATTGAGCCCCGCTGCCCTCCCTACCCCAAGACATAGAAAAAGTCATTATAGTTGACCTTAGCAAGAAAACCTGTAGAGCTACACCACCAATTTATCATTTACATATTTTACATTTTACTTGTATTCCACTTTGTCTAAAGTAAAATACAGCATCAATGTGTGATTTATAGAAAGATGTATTTTCAGACAGGCTTTATAAAACAGTGACAGCAGAGTATCTCATGGCAAACTTGCCCAGAATCAAGGACTAAATTCTTTTTGGGATTGACTCCCAGAACTAAAATCTGCACATTGTGTAAGAGAGTGTTGGACATAGCCTCACCTTCCAGCTCTGCTTCAGCTCTTTGTACTGTATTTCAAACCTCTGCGCAGTGACGAATTGTGGATGAGGAGAGCCCAGCTTCCAGGTCACATTTGCATGATCAACCTGTAGCTTCTCAGGAGGATGCAGCTTAACTGTAAATCAAAACACACACACAGCTTAGCTTCACACACAAATGTGTGGGGACAACTTTTTAAAATAATATTTTATTTGAACCTATAAAAATGGAACGCAGTATGTGACAAACACATTCATGACAGTTTTCTGCTGTCTCATCTTGCATTACTTCACAATGCACAATTTCCAACATCCAACCATCAATTTAACAACTGCAAAATGTTAAAGAGTGCTGCTAACTAGGAGAGAGGAACTGGTTAGCATTAGCTTAGCTAGCATGATAACAGCTCTGCTTATCACTGAACATGCTAAATTCTTGTTAACTAAAGCTGACTGGCAAACTTGGTTGGCATAGCGACGAGCAAGATGACCGATCAGTATAGAATATCCAAAAGCAGCTCAAACGTATGAGTTATGTGTAATAACTCATAGTTTGAGCTGCTGAAAGATGCGACAAAGCTTGTGTGTAAGTTAATTTATGTAGCTGTGTACACTGGCACTCAAAGTTTTAGCTCCTGAATGAGGTGAAGAAACTTTCCATTCTCATTTAGCTTTTCAAGGTGGAAAGCATTTGGCACAATGTCACAGTTGGCCTGTTTTGTGAGAAACAGTTTTTTTTAAAAAAGATGTCTGCATATTTCACATTTTTGTGTTGTTTATTAGTGTCATGTTTGATATTTCACGGTCTGTGAAAGCTTCTGACATTTTTTAGCCTCTGATTTTCACTCGTCCTAATAGCACCACCTATCAGCTCCCACTATGAGCTCCCACTCAACCAATAAATAGATATAAATGGGTGGAACATGTTCATTTAGCTGTTCAAGATCTGAAATAGAAATTTGATATACGTCACTATTTTTAAATACCACTGTATCTTCTTATTGTTATACCACCCAACCGAAGCCTCTAAAACCAGTCTATTATTTAATGAAACATATCAATTATATACGATCTCTGCAGTCCTGACCTGAGTGTGTGTTCAATTTTGGTGAAAAGCCTTACCGTTCATCCTTAGATTAAAATTCATCCCTGCGTTTTTGACACCTCCACACCGCACATCCACGGGGATTAGTCTACGATTCCATTTCAAACACTGGGGTTTTTGGGGAGATCAACAGGTGTAGAAGATTAGATGAGCAATACATGAGATCCATTCAGAAAACTCTATGCTTAAGAGACTAAGTGATACACATGCACACAGGTATACCCACACATCCTCACCTCATCTTCAAACTTCAGGGTTGCTTTAAGCAGTTCGGGCTGTGAGCTTTCAATGGGCAGCAGGTCGCTTTTGCTAAGCACGTCGTACATATAGCTGAAAACAACATGAAATTGAATTCAGTATTCAATCCAATGACATCTGCTGTATGCATACACAAGTGCGCATTTACCTACATAAGTACATAAGCACACTAAAGCCAGAGTTGTTTTTTACTTCATTTACAAGTGCTCTACAAGTGCTTTACAAGTGCTCTGGCCACCTATTTATTCTCATTTAATAAACGTCCTATTACAGATGGACCGTGATCAAAGTTTTGAAGTGAATGTGTCCGAAGGCCTGAAAATCAGTGTGTGACATTAAGATCTGTCACTTCCGAAACACATATTTTGTGCTATTAAGTAAACTGTTTTGTGTTTTAATGAAAAATATTATGATTTTATGTGCGTTTGCTAGTCATGTACCGGCTAGCGTTTTTGAGGTCTACTCAAAATGAGCACTACAAAAACAGTTACTACTGAAACGAATTCTTTTGTTAGTAATAAAATGGAATGCTCGATCATTTGTGTTAATCAAATAAACCTATTGAAGTTAAAGGGTCACTCAAAGCAAAATGGTTTTAGTCTGAAGTCAGAGTCAGTTAAAAGTCTGAAATGTGTATTCAGCTCTGACTTTGAACCAGTCTGGTAGAATTATCCGTATAGTATAGAGTAAACAGAGTGAACATTTTGGAAGTTTTATCTGTTATTTGGATATAAAGATGCATTTATATACTCAAAAATATTTACTACTTATCTCTGTCAAATAAACAAATAAAAAAATACGTATGGAGGATGTGCAGTTGATTAGATGTTAGCCAATTATGCAATTGTCTTTATTTTTTTACCAATTGTTTGCCAAAAGTTTTATGGTACATATTGTGCCTTCAGGTATCACTGTTTGAAATTTTTGCCATATCGCCCACTGCTGGCACAGAGGTAGACAGACACATCACAGCATGTCTTATGACAGCATGTCTTATGAGTCCATCTGTCAGCGTCTCACACATTGTAGATGGAAAGGCTGACCAGCTGTGTGGAGTTATTTAAAGGTGGAACTAAGCAGAGCAAATATTAAGAATCGAAACCGTGAATGCGACAGACAAGCTTTTAAACTTAGCCAATGACAGAATTGCACTCTTCTAAAAACGTACATAGTGGTTCTAAAAGAGGTTTAGATGCTTCATAACAGGATTCAATTCAGTGTAGTACAGCAGTGCTTGAACTGTGCTATTCAAGCATATTATTACTATAGACAAAGCACTATATACATTTATTAATCTTTATTGCAATGTATGCATTACTCAATGCTTAAAGGTGCATTAAACATGATCTAATTGTGTTTGGCATTTCGTTCTCTTTCTACGTTTCCCTTCTACTTCTACCTCCAAACCAGTTTTATTACTTATCATTTTTAAAACATTTAATATAGATGATTCATCAGACTCTGTTATAGGATATCATTAGAATATGTTGACTCCTATATTCAAGATTAAGCTTTTACCTCATTTATGGCACCAAAAAAGATGACAATACATAGTATGTATTAGGGCGAGAACAATATGAACACTTTGTCACCGATTCCAATGCCAATTTTAAGGAGCTAAAAATTCCAGTTGTATCTGCATTTCAGTTATTTTTGTTATTTAAGTAAGATAATGCTTTGTGTTCAAGTTAGCAGTTAAAAAGGATTATAATAAAAGGGATACATTACTTGTTACAGACACCATGAAGGAGGCATTTGGTCTCTGGTTTTGTATGCGGTCTGAATTCCGAACTGTTCCATTCGCACGTGATGATGTCTATGCTGTCAGTGTAGCACGTCAGACCTACAAACGGACGCATTCAGGTCAGACCACCATACAGCTCATACAACACTGCTAATGCTAATTCTGCATCTGCTGCTGCATCTGTTCTACTATTGTATCAGCACAATGAAAAAGCCTTTTTTTGGTCAGTTTGCACTGATCAAAATGATGTACGATGACATCGGCTGCCCTTTACTTTATTATGGATCAACAGTAATCGTCCAAAATTACTATTAATTTTTATATTTAATTACAAGCTACATTAACAGATTTTTAGTTGAATAAGAAAACTAAAGCAGAGAATATGAGGCTTCCTCCTCAGAGAGTTACTATTACTACTGTTACTAAAAATGATAATACATAGTATTTAAACTAATTTAAGTCATTTAAAATGCAGACTTGTTTTCCCGCACAGCAGTCTAACTGTTGTGTCTATGGCACTGAGCAATTCTGCGCTGCTTACTTTGATCTTGCAAGCTTGAAGCTAAGAGCGACATCGTCGTGAGCAGCAGAGTCAGACCCATCAGCATCTTCCTCTTCATTGTATAGAACGGCAGGAGGTTGCCTAGGCAACGAGGGACAAGAGACGAGTGAATGAGCTGTATACATAACTGTGACTATGGAACTATGGAGTTTGTAATAGATGTAGAGGCTGGAAAGAAATAAATAAATTAGTTACATATATATACCCATATATAATGTGCTGGTGATGGAATTTAAAGGGTAACTCCATCAATTTTTCGAAAAGTCTGCATAATTAAATCATTAAGATGTAAACAAAGTCATTCAGATGCTCTTTTCTGGAGAAACTTACAGAGTCAGAATTGTTCACAGTGGTGGTGATAGGAACCAGATGTCCACCTCTAAAAGCTCCCTCACAGAAACGTATGACCTGAAATGGTTATGAATACATTGCCTGAAGTCTGAGACACTGTTTTACGATCATTCTGGCAAAACTTTTGAGGTACAATGTACTTTTTAAATTTGGTCATGGTGGAGGGAGCAGGGATGGGTATTGTAAGGCAAAACAGTCCCAGAAAAAAACTTTTTGTTTTACCATCATCCACATTACAAATATAAAATGTAGGTTCACTGGTCATTTTGGATAGTAAATAAAATGGCTATATTTTTGTTGTAGACGTTGTGACCCCTGGTTCCTATCACCACCACTGTAAAGAAATTGGAGTTGGTAACTTTCTCTATAATAAAGCATTTCACATCAAACCACTCTGAATGACTTTATTTACATTTCAACCACAGAATTATGTAGAAATTTTGAAAAATGGGTGGAATTCCCCTTTAATACATATATGTGATGGTTTGAGGCGTCAAGGTGAAGCTGGACCCAAACCTGTGCTCTTGGTTCACACAGTTCTTGTGAAATTTTATAGCATTGTTTATTTGAATTAATTATACTTTATATAAAGATTGTTTTATACACAAATAAACACATTTACAGCTGAGATGAATTGTTTTAACAAGTTTTTTGAGAATATGTCTGTATTGATGACCAGAAGACTAAAGTTTATGCAGAACAGGGTGGGATTATTATTATTTTTTTTTTACTGTCTCTCACTTAACCTTTAGCTGTATTAGTGGAGAAGTCACGGTGTCTCTTATGGAAAAAACATTTGAACCACAAAATATCCACCCACTGATGAGTGTCACCAGGCTAAAGTCACATATCACATCTCTCTCTCTCTTTCTCTCTCTCTCTCTCTCTCTCTCTCTCTCTCTCTCTCTCTCTCTCTCTCTCTCTCTCTCAACCTAATGTAATGTCCTTTTGATTTAGTCTTATTTTTAATCAAATCATCTTAATAATCTTGTATCAGTCATTTAGTCAGTGTAGTATTATAATAAATACTTTTCAATGTACAATAAGACAAGTGTGGCACAGAGTTACACTGAAAATATACATTTATTAAAAGTCAAATCAGCTGAATAATTTAGTCAAAATGATTATTTTCATGATTAAAACTTGTTAGAATTGTTATGCTACTGGATTGTGTGACAGAGTTGGAAACACAGTAATACTGGTAAAATCAGAGAATGTATAACAGCATACCTTTCATGAATAGAAGAGTGTCCCACCGACAGTCATATCATCTGGTAAGAGAAGAAAACTGGAGTTAGGTGACTTTTACAGACGTCCTGCTCTGTTAGATACAGCGTTTCTCTCCTAGTGGCTCCATCAAACAGAGTGGTACTGTGAGATCTTGTGCGTCAGTTTTGAATTCCCTCTCTCTTCCTCTCTCTCTTCCTCTCTCTCTCTCTCTCTCTCTCTCTCTCTCTCTCTCTCTCTCTATCTCTCTCTCTCACGCATTCATTCTCGACCTCTCCAGCGGTGATGTCCCAGATTAACCGCAACCCATTTTCAGTAAGTGTAAGAACGTAACATGTAGAGGAAACCGTGGGGGGCCTCGCTATTATCATCTCTCTATCAGAGCTCTGTCTCACTTTTACTCGGTCTCTACATCCCTCTTTCTCGCTCTCTTCTCCTCCTAAGACTTAATGAACATTAGTAGTCTCTCTCTCTCTCTCTCTCTCTCTCTCATCAGACTTTTTAATGAACATAGATCCCCTTCTCTTTCTCTCCTTCCCTCTCCATCTTTCTTTTCCTATACTCTGAACTTCAGTAGCTTGTCTGTCTCTCTCCCTTTGTGTCTTTCTTTCTCTCCATCTGTCTCTCTTTCTCTCTCCTTCTTTCTCTCTTTATATCTTTCTATCTCTTTCTTTTACTCTGTCTCTGTCTCTTTCTTTCCATCTCTCTCTTTCCATCTCTCTTTCTTCCTCTCTCCCCGTCTGTCTCTTCTCCCTCTCTTTCTTTTCTTCTCTCCATTTTACTGTCTTTCCCTCTCTTTCTCTCTCCTCATCACTCTGTCCTTCTTTCCACCCATCCATCTCTTTCTGTCTTTCTTTCTTTTTTCTTTCTTTCTTTTTCTTTCTTTCCCTTTTACTCTCTATCGCCATCTTTCTTTTTTCTTTATGTCCTCTCTTTCTGTCTCTCTCTTTTACTCTCTTCCTCTCTCTCCCTTCGTCATCTCTTTTTTTTCTTTCTCTCTCTCTCTCTCTCTCTCTCTCCCTTTCACTTTCTCTCTTTCTCCCTCTCTCACTCTTCCGTTCTCTTTCATATTCTCTCTCTTTCTCGCCATATACCTCTCTCTACACCTTTTACTCTCTCTAATCAGTTCTTCTTGTCTCTCTCTCTCTCTCTCTCTCTCTCTCTCTCTCTCTCTCTGTATGACTCTAAAGCTCTCTATCTCTCCCCTCCCCCATGTAGGTGAGGTTCTATTTCCGAGCAAAACAGCTGCGTTTTTTTCATTTCTGATGCTGAACTGACCACACTGTGCCTATACCACAACCCATTTCCCCATCTCCCTCTCTCCAGCTCACTTGCACTATATACTAACACTCTACTTAGAACACGCTGTGCTAAGATAAGGATTGGGTGTTGCTTGTGTTTTTGTTTTCTAATCATACTCCTGACACAACCCACAAAACAGGTCCTGATACAACTACACAAACAATTTCCATACGAGCAGGTTTTCAGGACTCAGCGTTTGTCTCGGCCACTTTCTGAACTAACTCTACTCTTACTGCCCAGTCGAAACCCAGACGAAATAGAAATAGAATTATAACAGGAGTTGAAGTAGAACTACATCTCTGACATATGAATCAGGTGCTACAGCAGTTGTCATGGTTACGCTACACCCATTTACACTTCACAATGTCCATCTGTCTTATGAAGCCAAATCTATGCCCACAGATAGAACTAAAAAGGCCCTGAAAGCTTCTGATACAACCCAAAAAATAATCTCCTCACCAACCCCAAAAAAGGCTTTGGATACAAACTTAGAAATATTCCTAATGCAACCGCAAAAAGCTCTTGATACAACCCAAGAAAAGACTTTCATACAACCCCAAAAGCCCTGATACAAACCCAAAAAAAGCTTCTCATATATAACAAAGAAAGCTCCTGATCTAACCCCCAACAGCTCCCAATACAACCCTCAAAAAGCCCCTGAAATACCCCAAAGAAGCTCTTGATACAAACCCAAAAAAGCTCCTGATTCATCCCTAGAAAAGCTCATCACACAACCCCCTCAAAAGTCTCTAAAATAAGCCCAAAAAGCTCCTGACACAACCCTAGAAGCTCTACATACAAGTGAAAGAGCTCCTGATATGACACCAAAAAATCCAACCACAATAAAGTCCCTGAACAACCTACAATAAGCTCTCGATACAAACAATAGCTCCTGTTAGAATTCATGAAAACCTCAATACAATTAAAAAAAAAAGCTACTGATGCAACTTAAGAAAGACTCATTACAATTTAAGGAAAGCCTTTCTCAACACTCACCAAAACAAACAAACAAACTGGTAAAAATAATAAATAGTATTAAATGATATTTACTAGGGATGCACAATAGAGGTTTCAAACATGGATAAAAAAGATATGAAGGAGCAAACTTTTCAACTTTTGCCCTCCAAACTTTTCAAAATTCTTAAAACCTTTCTTAAATCCTAGCAAATCTTGAGCAGCCAGAGTGTCCAGACTGAGATGCATCTTTAAAAATCTGATTGGAAACCATTGGTTTGGATCTGGACGCCAAACTTGGATTTCATGTGTGTTTTTGGTTTTTGTTTTTTTGCTGTCCAGACTATCAAAAATCAATCTGGATACAATCTGGATATGCCAAAAATGGCTAACTGGGTTTGCAGTCTGAGCATAGCCTGTGACTTAGCTCATGTCTTGCGATCTCTCTCTCTCTCAGCTCACACACTCCACACACAACCCCCGGGCGGTACTTAGCCGCGCCCTCCACAATAAGAGTCCACGCCAAAACATGCTAGAAAACACACAACCTAAAGCTAACAGGTCAAAGCATTTCTTGAACATGCTACAATATATTAGTCCTTTCTAATTCTCTCTCAGTTCTTTTCCCAAAATGACGATTATCACCTTTTACACATCGTCATAGGGTTACGTGTCCCTCACTGACGATATCCAATAACACTGTCCTATGGTCCAGGCCTAGCTGCACAGTTTGAGTGAATCAGGGTGCTGAAGCATATTAAAAAACTAGACAGCGAGGTTACTCAAGTTGCCAATCACAGATTGAGCTCTGAATACAAGAAGCAACAATCAATGAGATGAAAAAACAGACTTAAACACATTTAAATAACAATGAATTCAAAGCCTATATCATAAAATGAAGTAGCTTTGAACATCTGCCAGAACATGTTGTGTACGATTCATTCAATGTAAACAAACGCGGCTTTACATATTACAGATTGCGGCTTTAGGATGTCTCTCGTTCTCAGTAAGGCCTGCAGCTGAATCACTCTGAGAGCTGGTCAGTAGCACGCTGCGAGCTGTGAGAAGAAAGGCTGACAGTAAATCCAGTCCACACACCTGATGGGAGTGTGAACAAAGGCAGCGTGGTTGGGCATTGCTTCTCACAGCAGTCCCACCTGTTTGCATGCTCAGAAAAGGTCAGCGAACCGCAGGGGAGAAACCGACCGCTCGTGGTTTCAGGTGCGGCGGCGGAGCTCTGCAAAAACAAAGCTCGAGCAGCAGCAGGCGGGATATTAGTGTGGTTTTTGAGCAAATGTTTATGCCTCAAAGCCTAAATATTTTTGAAAGATGTCAACATATTTTCCATCCACCATAGCCTTAGTTATTTAAACAAAGCGGAACATTGCGTTCCTTTATGATTTCTAACTGTTTGCAAATTAGTCAAAACAGTCGAATTATCTTAACCCTTGTGTGGTGTTGATGTGTTTGTTACTCAGTGGTCTGGTGGTCCCACCGCATTATTACTTTTCTAAATCAATACAGCCATAATGATTTCTGTAAAAATATAGCAGCCGTAGCCAGTCAGCAGCCTGTCCATGTTGTCCACCCTCACACACACACACACATATACAAACACATACACACACAGACACACACACACTGACAGTAGACCATGTAGGAGGAGAACAGAGTGAAGGGAAACAGCACCTTCACACTTTTACTACATGAGTTCACCCCAACACCACATGTGTAATATAAATGTGTAGGGGGTGAACAGTTTGAAGGCACTGAAAATGTGCTATTTTATATGTTCTTCACAGAAAATGAGCAAATGGCCAAGTAATCTGAGGTTGAAATAATAATGAAAATGGGTCCCACAGACCCGAACACCTCGTCTCGTCATCTTTTTAAGATCTTAGTCCAGACATACAAGACCAGACTCATATCATTTTTGAATGGGGAGAGAACTGTAAACCCCAAATTGAGATCCACATTAAGGTATCATATTGAATAAAAAGCATAAATAGTTTGTAGCGTTTGGCTCAGATTATACACAAAAATGCATTTTCTCAGCTAGTTCTGATGCTTTTCCCGCTTCCCTGCCAGCTGTTTAACTCTTTTTATTGAAGGGTGGTGTTTCTCCATAAACAGATGCCATGTTGAGCACTAGGGGCTTTCCTATTCATTCCCAGACTAATGAACTGCCCCCTCCTTTAAAATGTCTTTATGAAAACTCCATTCATTTCTGATTTGGTTGGGAGCGCCCTCTAGTGTTTGGCAAATCTGGAAAACATTATTGAGTGGCAGCTCTCCTTGCTACAAACTGGACCCCTGGTTCAAAGCAAGTACATTTATAACCTTTTTATTTTTAAGAGCATATAACATCCGTTTCCTTTGTTTTCTATATAGTTTAGAGGATGTTAAGGGGATATATTTTTTCCTGAGGTTCACTTTTAACATATGTCTGGTTTTTAAATGACCATTTTCTGTCCTCTCTTTAACCCTTAGAATCATATCTGCTGTTTTTGTTACTATGCCTTTATGACTAATATACGTAAATGAATTCAAAAAACTCTCCTTATAACTTCAGTATCCGTGGGTGGGGCTAAACTTGCCATAGGCTGAGCAGGCGGACGAATGTAAATGTGTTGGTTTTTGTAACACCACAGACACAGCGGATTCAATATGGCCTGTTTTTCATGTATGGACGATATGGACTGGGGACTGAACAGGATGTTTTGAAAGTTTAACAACATTGACATGAGGAAATGATAAGGGCTTTCACAAACTAGCTCAAGGCAAGCAT